TGTTTAGTGCCGGTTGAATAGGGCCGGTTGTCGGTATAGTGCCGGTGTTTTCGGCTCGCACACACTGGAATATCAAGTCGTTCTGTACTTTGAATGGTGCCGGTGCCCCGTATAGTGCCGGTGAAATTATTGCGCACACCCCGGCACTAAATAGGGACCTCTACTGTATACACCGCAGGCGCTATAATCTGTTTGGCTTAGGTTTCCAAGACACAAGAACAAGGTGGTGCCCTGGGAGTAAGGGGAACGCACAGGTTTGTGGTCGATATTTAAAGACCAAGAGATTGCTTTCTCCACGACCAATGGAGGGGTGCACGACCCAGAATTTTCGTCAATCTACGTCACTTTTGTACCGCTCTCTTACCTCCTCGCTCCGATCGCAGCACTGCTATCATACCTCACCTCCTATCTTCACGATGCTTACCGCCACTACCGCTCTGATACCTCCCCTCCTATCTACTTCGCTCCGCCCTCTCGAGGACGCGTGGTCAATGGTCTAACTGCTAAGGCGTGCAATACATAAGAGTACCCCCCCCCGCCCCCTCCTATCTACTTTGTCGCTTCCCACCACCTCCCGCCCTATCTTCCTCTCTCCACCTCGTCCTCCCGTCCTACGCTACCCTCACCTCGCAAGCCCGCCGTCCGTGATGCGGTTAGCGTTCTCCTCCACCGCGGCGGCGGCGGCCTGCACCCTAGCCTCAGCCACGTCCCTCTCCAGCCTTCCCCGCGCTTCCGCGACCTCGGCCTCAGCAGCCTCCGCCCTTGCGTCCGCCGCTCGCCACTTGGCCTCGGCTTCGCTCTTCTCGCGATCGATGCGCTCGCGCTCCTGGTCTGCCCTCGCTGCCTCCGCCTTGGCTGCCTGGATGGCCTTGTTCTCCTGTTCCTGCTGCTTGGAGGCCTCGGCCGCCTTCTNGGGGGGGGGGGGGGGGGGGGGGGGGGGGAAGGAAGGAGACGGAGGCGTGTGACGTTTTGTGGGGCCTAGCAAGTGCTCTCAAGGCAACCGCGTACTAAATCATACCACTGTGCTTTCGATAGGCTTTACCATGTAGGGATATCATTGGGCGTGGTACGTGGGGGGGGCAGGAGCAGGAGGTTGTGTCGAAGTCGTGCTGTGCAGTATGCAGCAAAGAGAAGGGGCATCGCAGGAAGATGCGTCAAATGCTGGGACTACATGGATGGCATGTGCAATTCACCAGGTTTAGCCAGGTTTAGGGGAGCACCCGTAGCTTTGGCCGTCGGGGTATCGTAGAGATAGAAAGGGTAGGTACATGGGGTCAGCCAGGGCGGGGTCGATTATGCATGCGTGCAATACGGGGGAGGTGGGTGGGCAGAGTTCACCCTGGTCTTCATTCTGCGGGTCTTATTCTGGTTTGAGACCATGGCCGGCGTCAGTCGTGGATAACAAAACATGGCGCGCGCGTGAGATGCATCGAAGGAGAAACGGGACAAGAAGAAGACAAGGCGCCGGTGCCATCATTGGTGCCAGCCGGAAGTCGCCAGGTCGACCGTTATTGTAGCAGTGCGTTGCCCGCTGAATAACGCAAGACGCAACGCAGCAGTCAGTCGTAGTCACGCCGAAGAGGCATGTTGCTGCCGAGACTCGAACTCACGAGGAACAAGCAACAGCAACGAGAGAGTGACACCAGCAAGGATAATGGTTGGCTGGGGTTGGGTAGAGCCAGCCAGACCGTCGACATACTGCACAGACATCGCGACCGGAATATATGGTGCGAGAGGAGGAACACATCTGCTGGCGACCGTGCTGCCATGCCGTTTGGCATACCCTCGCAAGACTGTACTACTACCCCGAAGTTGATTCGTCTAGCTTGTCCTGGGATTCAGCAACACCGTCTGGAGTGACACGCTCCCGATGAGGTTCTGTGTCCAAGAAACCACGGTGGCTAGCAAAGGAACATCACGCCTAACCCCATTAACAAGCTCAGTGACGGTGGGAACTTTGGCTCGAGTCCCAGTTCCACTATTGCTAAGGAGAAGCCGCAAACGACGACGACGACGCTGCCTCTCGCTATCGTCAGCTCCAAGTGTGGAGGGAGGAACATTGCATGCCCGGCGGGGCGAAACCGCCGTAGCAGAGCTTGCGATACTCCGTTTAAGATAAAAAAGCCTCTACCAGTTCGCAACACGAATGGAAGCATGAACTGTTGAGCTGACTCCCCCCTAAACAACAAAGGCTCTTGTCTTAGCGGTGCTCTCGTCCTGCCGGACACGGAAGTCTCTCCCTCCACACTGCGGACGGAAACGAGAGGCAGCATCGTCGTGGTTGTTTTGCGGCATCCCCTTGACAAAAGTGGAACTGGACTGGAGCCCTTTTTCCCACCGCCTTGTTGATGCCCGCAAGCCTGTCGCGGCGGGCGGTCCCTGCATGCTAGCCGCCGTGGTTTCTTGGACGCAGAACCTCATCGGGAGCGTGTCACTCCAGAAGATGTTGCGGAATCCCAGGACAAACTAAACGAATCAACTTAGAGTTTGACATTCGCGCACGGTTTGGCCTCAACGCCATGCCGTGTACGATTGTCAAACTCGAAGTTGATTCGTCTAGCTTGTCCTGGGGTTCGGCAACACCGTCTGGAGTGATACGCACACGAAAAGATTCTGTGTCCAAGAAACCACGGTGGCTAGCAAAAGGGACATCCGGCCTAAGGCCATCAACAAGCTCAGTGGCGGAGGAAAAGTTAGCTCGAGTTCCAGTTCCACGTTTGCCAAGGAGAAGCCGCAAAACGACCACCGCGACGACGCTGCCTCTCGTTATCGTCCGCGGTGTGGAGGGAGGAACATTCCATGTCCGGTGGGACGAAAGCACCGCAGCCGAGTTTGCGATATACGACAAGAGCAGAGACTCTATTCTTGAGGGGGGAGTCAACACCAAACCGAAGGCACTACTTGTACTGTAGTTTGCATTACATGAGATGTAACAACCCCCGGACCGATTTAGGGGGGAGTCAACACCAAACCGAAGGCACTACTTGTACTGTAGTTTGCATTACATGAGATGTAACAACCCCCGGACCGATTTAGGGGGGAGTCAACACCAAACCGAAGGCACTACTTGTACTGTAGTTTGCATTACATGAGATGTAACAACCCCCGGACCGATTTAGGGGGGAGTCAACACCAAACCGAAGGCACTACTTGTACTGTAGTTTGCATTACATTAGATGTAACAACCCCCGGACCGATTTTCAAACCTCGATTACTCGGTATGAAGAGCGATACCGGTGCCAAACATGGCGGCGTTGATACTGCTGTTTCGTCGAGAACTTTCCGAAAACGTATCGTTTGGTTTTGGCATGTTCTTCGTGGAGTAATCGCACTTTGAAAAATTGGTCCAGGGGTGTGGTATCTCATGCAATCTGCTTTACATGTAGCCCACGCTCCGGCACAAAACGCCCTGTAAGACGTGTGCCATGGGAAAAAGCAACACCCCAGACATCGAACGAGACTATATCGACGAGTTCGTCAACACCGCCCTGGCTTGCCCTTTCAAGAGAGCACAGGACGGATCAAGGTGCATGAACAAGTTCAACGTGTACAGCAGTAGACGCTTCGTTTATGTTCAGAACCAAAGCGAGTTGTAGTTCAGCTTTGCGAGTGTGTGGCAAACGGCGTGGCAGCACGTTCGCCGGCTGGCGAGCGGTGGGGGTGGGCACAGCAGTAGTGCCAGCAGAGGCTACAGCACGTGCCATCCGAGGTTGGCGTCGAGTGCTGGCGGTTGAAAGCAGTATTGGTTTTGTTGGTTTACCCGCAAAGTCTCTCATGATGGTCTTGAAAGAGTGTTGGGGACCAAGCCATTTGCTCGAGCTTCGCGACGAAAAGTGTCACGAGCAGAGCGCTTGCTTCCCAATACTCAAAGCAAGAACACCATCAAAGACGTCAGCGGGTAAATCAGCAAAATCCACTCCTGCTTTGCCTGCCTCCAGAATTTTCTCCCACTTCGAACCCACTTCGAACCCACTTCGAAAGTGGCCTGCGGAACAGGAAGAGGACGCACACTCCAGACACAACGGGGGTAGCTTATAATAATAGGCACACCACGCGACGTGGGTACGATGTATTCCCTCGTGAGTACTCCCTCCAAACATCAGACGGTAATAGAATAGAGCATGAGGAGGTTGGGTACGGCGGGGGCGGGCTGTCGGGTCGTGTCAGGCGGAATCACGCCGCCTCTTTCGCGTACTTCATAGACGTTGACAGGGTGAACCAACCCGTGGCAAGAGGAACAGCCGCAAAAAAAAAAGAAACGGAATTATAAATTAAGTAGAAGCCACACAGCAGTGTGTCCGCTAGCGGTATGGATTCATTGCTGTGATATAATGAAATGGACTTTCATCTGTGCATAGAGAGACTCATCTGCGAAATAGATCTTTATATTTTCGCGTATCTTTTTTTAAGAAAAAAGAAGAAATAAAAGAGAACAAACAGCAACAAGAAGAGTTCAGAAAAGCACACCATGAACAACAATACAAGCCAACCTCGCGCTCGCACTGCAGCTCCGCCTCCACTTGTGCGAGCTTCTCTTCGGCCTCTCTCTTCTCGCGCTCTTGCACCTTCCTAGCCGCGGCCGCTTCTTCCTGGCTGGCGGCGACGGCCTTCTTCTCCTTCTCGAGACGCGTCCTCACTTCCTCGGCTTCATCCTGGAGCTTGTTGGCCGACCTGTTGTACTCTGTCAGTGATCGGTATTGGGGGCGGAGGGGGGGGATGTAGGTGGGCGTGAGAAAAGAGGTTGGTCGCCGACCTGTTGTACTCTGTCATTTCGGGGCGGAGGGAGGGGGGGGGGGGCCG